GCTAAACCTAACCCTTAACCTAACGCTAAACCTAACCCTTAACCTAACTTGAATCGGCTTGCTTTCAAAGCGCTATTTAAAGTGCCCTTTTTTTCCCGCGGGCCCTGGTGTCGCCCTGCTGATGACGTCAGCGGCGCGGGTTAATCGGGCGCGCTTTAGTGGAGCGCGGTTTTGTCGTGCCACGGATTAGGAATGCCCTTCGCCTGTCCTGCCAATGTTGGTGGAAGTGTGGTTTCCTTCTTAGTAATTCCTTCATTGGGGTATTATTTTCTGTTTGATCGTTTGTCTGGTGTCAATCCCTGTTTAATGCCCTCTTAAGGGGAAAACCGCATCCCCACCAACATCGGTAGGGAAAGCTACTGTTATATAAGCAGGCAAGAAAACACTGATGATGTTACTCAGTCAGGTAATGAAACGTTTGCAATCAAGCAACCAGGCCCAGAGACCACTGAAGATTCCAAGCAAAGATTGTGCAGATGTTCTGTGCTTGCAATACTTGGTAAACTACTATTCACTTTGCCAGGTTCTAAGAAAGCCACGAGAAAGGCGTTAATTATTCTTCATTGTTCAGGCCATGATCTCCTGAGAATTTAAACCCTAAAGCAGTTCTTTTGGTACTCTCTTGAAATCCCCAAGGAAGTTAGCTCTACTGCTCCCTCGTTGTATACAATTAAAAGGTAGAATCTAAAGTTTATCTACTTTCGCTGTTCTCTCTCTCTCTCTTCCTAAACATAGGAACAAGTCAGGTTAATTTGAGATGATTTAACTTGATGAATAAAAGATCAATTCAATCAAATGCAGACTTTCATTTCCCTTCAGAGTAAATTGTGGAAAGCCTGAGAACATGAAAGGATGAAGCAGAAACTAGAGATACTTAAACACCTGATTTAAAAATAACCCCTCAGAGATTGCATTGGAAAGTGGGGAGTGGGTTAGAGAAAAGAGAGCGTGCAATCGTATTTTTTTTCTTGTCTTTTCTCCGAATTATGTATGCAAGATGCTCTCTTCTCCAGCAAAGTACCTTTCTTCTTTGGTTAAAAAATAGCAATAGCAATAGCAGTTAGACTTATATACCGCTTCATAGGGCTTTCAGCCCTCTCTAAGCGGTTTACAGAGCCAGTATATCGCCCCCAACAACAATCCGGGTCCTCATTTTACCCACCTCGGAAGGATGGAAGGCTGAGTCAACCCTGAGCCAACCAGAATTGAACTTCAGGCAGTTGGCAGAGTTAGCCTACAATGCTGCTTTCTAACTACTTTGCTGGAAGGAAGGAGGGAAGGAAGGAAGGATATCAATAGCACTTAAGACTTATATACCACTTCACAGGGCTTTTACAGCCCTCTCTAAGCGGTTTACAGAGTCAGC